TTTTGATCCGTGATCGATAAACAAATCGTGACCTAAAAATTTTTGAGCTTTGACTTTAAAATAATTTGTGACATAAAAATTATAATTTGTGATCAAAAAATAATATGTGATTAACTAAATTGTGAATCTGTGACCAAATTATATAAATATGTGACAGTCACCGGAATAGTTGTTGAAATTGGAGCAGTCGCTGGAATAGTCGCTGGATAGTCATTGAAAAAGTCAATCGAAACGTCGTCAGAACAGTCGTCGAAGAAGAGTGGTGGTCGGAACGATCGCTGGAATAGTCACCGGAGCAGTAAGAGTGGTGTAGGTGTGATGGATTAATTGTATTATATTATAATTAAATATTTAATAAATTTATTTAATAATTTATTAATTCATAAATAAATATTTAAAAAATATATAATTTTTGAAATTTAAAACTTGTTTTCTTATTTTTAAAATTGCACATACTCAACATTTTATAAATGAAATTTTCCCCGTGCAAAATACAAGAGTAACAAACCACTCGTTCTAATACGCCCCTGTTCGAACATAGCCCACGTGGTCATTGGCGAATGGCAAAATCTTTAAAAATTTGCGAAATACAAGAGTAACAAACCACTAGTGCACCGCCACGTGTACAATGAATTCTAGAAGGTGTTTGATACACCACGTTCCTTGTTTTCCTCCCGCACCGCTACCCCTGGAAAAGTGTGTCACTTTCAGCCGCTGTTTTCTCTGCTCCAAACAACCAACCAGAATTCCTCTCTCTGGAAAATACACAGAGTGAAAAAACCCACAAAAAATTATAGAAGAAAATGGCATCATTTGCAGAGGCACCACCTGGAAACTCAAAGGCAGGAGAAAAAATTTTCAAGACCAAGTGTGCCCAGTGTCACACTGTTGAAAAAGGCGCCGGCCACAAACAAGGTATATATACATAATTTCTTTCTTCAATCTGATCTGTCCCTGAATTTATTGGAACAAGGAATCGTTTGTTATTCTGTTGATAAATCTGATCTATTGTACTCTGTTTTATTTATTTATTAATTTGTTGATTCAAGTCTTAAAAATCAAAATTTTCTTCATTTATATGATTTTCTTTTGTTTTTATGAAGATTAAATTTTTGGCTTTTAATATACAGTTCTAATTTTTAGATAGTTGAGATCCGAAGCTGGAACTGTGAAGATCTTTCTATTTTCTTCAGCTATTGAATTTTGGATTCTTTATTGACAAAGATACCGTGTTATGTTGTATTCTTTTCTTGGTTACTTTAGGACAGATGGGTGGGGAAGAAGAGCTGTAAGAAGTTTGCTTGATGCTTTAATGTAGCTGAAGATTGTTAATTCTCATACAAATAGGCGTCGATAAGCAAACCAAAATTATGATGGGCAATTGAAAATAATTGCATTGGTATTTTGTTGAGCAGAAAATCTGTGGCTGTTTATATTAAATATTAGACTGAAAATAAATGAAGTCCAAAAGGCTATCACTGTGTTTTTCAAAAAGGTTGTGGCTTCTGTCTTACTAGCTAGTTGGGTGAGGCAACTAGCTTACAAGGCAATGAAAAATGGAGCGTCCATCAGTCCATGGCTGTTACCTCCATTATTGCCACCTATGGATAAATCATCCAATGCAGTTTCTCCGCTTGATTGTTAAGTAGGACTTACTATGACTCCATTCAGTAATTTAGATGACCTTTGGTAATATGAGCTGCATAATTTATGATACGTTAAAAGGGAGGGGAGATCTAGAGCTAGGGGAAGAAATAAGGAAAAAGAAGAAGAATAAAGATTAGAGTGGGTGTGGGTTTACAATTTGTTTGAGAAGTACCCGAAATTATGTTCAACTGGATGGTATTGAGGAACAACAATGGCACATACGTTGTGACTTTTTGGTACCAGGCGTCAAGGTTTTGTTGTGAATAGAGTTTCATTGAATTCTTATTCTTCTTAGAATTTGAATGACCCTCGAGCATGGATGCATTCCCTTTGAAGGAGAAAAGGATAAAAGATTGTGCATCAAGTTGATGTTGATGAATGTGTGTGTCTATATGTACGATTTCTTTTGATGTCATTCCTGAAGTCTCGTAAGTTTGATCCTATAGAATTTGACCCATTTTCTCATTGAACAAAAGGGTGAGAAGTCAATTGGATTGATTTTTCGATCAAAAGTACTACGTGAAATCATTGCTATTCCATTAGTAGGACAACACTACCTCTTTTATTAGACTCATCGTCCACGCCACTTCATCAAAGTTTGGTTATTATCACAACTTAACCAGAAAAAACCTCAGTAGGAAACCAAAAAAATGGAAAAGTACAACATGGAAGAGAGGAAGGAATCTTTCTGCTGTCTCTGGCTAGATGCCATTGTTTCCTTGCAGAAAGAAGGCTCCCTTAAAATTGAGCAGAAAGAAATCAAAGTCAGTCTCCTTGTTGATCATTCATTATAAGAGTAAATTGTGTCTTGCTTTCAAATGCTTCAACACTCTCCCCCTCTAATTATCACACTATTTTCCATGTCCTGCAGCTCTACTTTCCATAGCTTTGAACTTGTTCTCCATGTTTATCCATGTCTTCTGCAGCCACACATTAAATTCTTGTAGATGTAGCAAATAGTAGTTGATGGTGTAAGCGAAATACTTTTCCTATTGTTTTGAAGAAAAAACGAAATATTTTTCCTACTTGGAGTTTTTGTTTTGCTGTTTATGTAATCTGATGAAATGCCTGTGCCTTCAGGTCCCAATTTGAATGGTCTCTTTGGAAGGCAATCTGGAACAACACCTGGTTATTCCTACTCTGCTGCTAACAAAAACATGGCTGTTATTTGGGAGGAAAAGACACTGTATGATTACTTGCTGAACCCCAAGAAGGTACATCTCTGTTTAGACCATATTTAAAGTTCGTATCTTTTGTCAATAAAATTTGTAATGCCTGTGTGTTAGGGGTTCTCATTTTTGTTTTCCCTTGTGTTTATCTTAAGACAATAATCTAATCTATGCCGAGTTAAGTACAATTTACATCATATGGAGCATCTGGGTGATGAAGTTACAAGAAAGATCCTCCTTTCTTTATGGATGCCTATGATTTGAATAACATAGGATACTCTATTCACTTCTGAGTCTTGTTCACTCAATTAATTTGATAAATTATGAAGATAAAGATGTCTGATTGAGAGCTAGACCTTTGACAGAACGGTTTTGAGGTCTCAGTGTCCTACAAATACATACTAAGTAGGAGGAAAATTTTGGTTTGAAACTAGGTGGGATAATTTATGAGAATATCTAACCTATTTGCTCAAGTATTGAGTTAAGAGGAGGTCAACTTGCATTGAGCCTCTGGAACCTTTGCACTACTCCCTTGTGAACAGTACATAAAGATGTATTTTGTCTTGTATCAAAACCAGTGTATAGTCAGTGGCAAGGCAAGGCTATGAAAGATAAACTTTACTGTATCATAGAATTGGTCATTTCATCATATGGAAGAAATAGGAGGAAAAACATATTTCCCAAATCCTCCAATCCTTCATCTTAAAGAGTTGAAGACTTAAGTTTAAATAAGCCGCTATTTGATGTCCATTTATTTATTTTTTTGAAAAAAAGAGTTTTGAATAGTGGTTTAGGAGAATACGTGATTAAAAGGTAGGGAAAAAGTTTTGGTTTACGTGCAGAATATTTTGTTGTGTGAATGTGTGGTTGAAAATGATCATGTATAAAAAAGAGTTTGGAAAGAACAGGCATGAGGTGGTTCAAGACAAAGGTATCAAGATCAAGTCTCATTGTCAGTCATTTTTTGGAAATTGTGCATGCATGAGGCATTGATAAAAAGGATGAATCTAGCTTGTATGTGAGGGGCATGTTGAAAACTAAACTTAAATAACATCTTAATCTTTTCCATGAGGTGGTTCAAGATATAGTTATCTCACATCTAGTGGAATGAGAATGACTTCATGAGCAATACTTGGAAGGGAAATGCCCTGCATTTTGCGCATTTCCTGGTTTCTTTTATTGGACTAATGCTGGATCTTGTGCATTTCTTTTTATGCAGTATATACCCGGAACAAAGATGGTTTTCCCAGGACTGAAGAAACCGCAAGACCGTGCTGACCTCATTGCTTATCTGAAAGAGTCTACAGCTTAATGAATGTTCTACTTGTCTGTGTACGTTACCATTTTGCAGTTGAGAAGCGCAATATGCTTTATTCGGGGAAGACAAAAATAGTTCTTTTTTGTAATAAATAAATCATTGGATGGTCTACTGTGCTCCACAATTCCTGGAGTAGTTATTGTAGCCATTGCCTCGTGTTGCCTTTGGCAAACTGAAATTCGTATTGAACTTGAGCACATTCTATAACAGCATGAATAGATTGGCTTGAATGTTTGAGGACTATTTATTGTCGTCAAAGCTTATATGTTAGATTAATATTTTCAGTGTTCATGCACTTGTTTATCAAAACAAATTCTTTGCACAATCAGAACTGCCCACAGGGGAGCCCAACCATAGCTTAGATGTCGGGCTGGGCTTATAATCTATGTGGCCCAACACATTTTAACACCTCTTGCTATAATCAAGGAGTTGTTGAGTAGTCACCACCCATAATTCGTTTTCTCCAGAGAATTCCGCTTGTCCAAGGTCCAAAGAATAATAGTTGAGGCATAATATGATTTATGTTTTCCCAATATGCACCCCACGTACTGAGGGTGCTTGTCGAGTTTTCAAACATCTTGGCCTTGAGCGCAACAAAATATTTATTCACTTACTGGTAGAGTAAATATTGTAGGCAGAAAGGTCATGTAATTTGGCTACAATCTTATCTCGCGAATATCAACGGTCTCAAAACTCTTACTTTTTGGTACTAAATCCATTTTTTTATGATACTAAAAACAAATCTCTCATCAATGCAACAGCTGCATCACACGATCCGTTCCAATTCCTAAACATAAATTTAAGACAAAGACATCGAAACGATAATTCTAAACATGTATCTGGTTCAGCAAATCCAATCCTATTGCTCAAGGTTTTGAAACTGATGGACGAAGAATCCCTGGAATCTGCAGCAAAAAATATCCATGCAAGAGAATCTAAATAGAATGATTTCAGTACGCCTAGATGAAAAGGTGAAACCAAAATTGAGGGAGAAAGAAAGGCAGGACTTTTTAATTTTAACAGTTTTTTTTTTCAACATGACTGACAGAACACTGACCTCAACGCCATGAGGGCCTATTCGATTCCTATGTATAAAATTAAGCACCAATGTAGCGAATTCCCCAGGCACGTCCTCCTGTTATATTCAAGAATTCAGTACATATTATCTTTTTCTAATTTCTATCCAGTAAGAAGAAAGAACAATTTCCATGAAGATAACTGGATCGTACCTGTATGGCATGGCCAGTATGTCGGACAACCACCATTTGAAACTTCCCTTGCATTTGACCTATTGTGAGAGTTCTGTGACAATAAAAAGAAATTCAACCAATTCATTTATTTAGATACAAGTAAAACATATTTCAAATTTCATATACATGCAGCAAATAACCATGCCCCTTAAAACACACTGGAAAGGGGATACACTCTAGTCATCGGCAAGATAACAAATTCCGAACTTCAATTAGAAAACTATATAGAAGCTTTATCACAAGCAATCATAATTAGAAAAAAATATGCTTATGCTGATATGGTTCTTGGACCAACTGATTTTTCATAATTATTTTGTTTTATGAAATCATGAGCATATGACATAGACATGATGCTAACTATTTATCACTTAAAAATCAAATAAAGAATCTATACCATGTACATGGAATTTTGTCGAAGATAAAAAAATCCTTTATCCTGGTGAAGTTTAATAGTTAGCATTTGCATACATGGAGATACAGGAAGTTAATTATGTCTGCAGTCTTGAATCTTCATGGATACGCATTTTAATTCTTCAAACACATTGATATGATTACAGGCCATCAAAAGAGCCACAGGAAAATATTTAGCAGTCATTTCTACATTAAAAAACTGTGGTCAAGCTACCACACACAGGCCAACAAAAGCAAATTATAAGTAATATATGTCCATTAAAAAATCATCCATGACTTATATTTCAACAGTAATCAAAAGAACAGGATAAAATTTTGTAAAAATGAGTTAGTGTGAACAAATAACCTGTCCAGTCTATCTGTCCCAGCTAGAAGCAATATTTTTGGTACGGGTGATGACAAGAATTTTTCTGAAAGGCCTTCATACCTGAAACAACATTAGCCAAATTCATATACATAATTTTCATGAAAAAATTATTTGCAATTTTTTTATGCATAGAAAGTAACAACAAACTCAATAGTTCCAATACCACACGGCCATTGATATGAAAACTACAACAGAAACAAGATTGCAACTATAAAAAATAGTTTAGCAGCAAGTTTAACGTCAAATGCATTAGTCTCCTGAACAATTTTATAGCAAAAAAAACAGGAGACCGCAGAGAATGCTATGCACACAGCTAATAGGTAAGGCAGAGGGCAAAAAATTATATTTTATGGAAACATTTTCTGATATCCAGTGAAGTTTTCTAATGTAAAATTTAACTGCTATCATTTTCTCACGATTTTTTGAAGCTGCAAAACCATTTCTTAATATAGATTGGTTGAAAAGGGAAAACAAAGAAGCTATCTCGGTAAAATAGTACTGCTCCTAGTCAGCATTATTGGACAAAGCATAATAACTTGTTAGCAATCGCATTGGAATTACAGTATTTGATTATTTGGTATCAAGTCAATTAATTTCACATCACAAATTCTATGACATGACTTTATTCCACAATTTTCGTGACTCATAACGAACCTAGACACAAATCAAATCCCTGTCCACAAATAATGTAACGAACCGGGGAATCACTTAACGGGTTGTCCCGGCCGTTAGATCGACAACGTACCCACTGTACCAACATGAGTCTTTTCAGCATGCTTTATCCTCACTCGCACGCTCTCCAAGAAAACTTCTCAGGAGGTCACCCATCATAGAATTGCTCCAAACCAAGTACGCTTAACTGTAGAATTTCTAACGATAGACTTCCGGAAAAAAAGGTGCACCTTGTTGGTATGAGTAGTACCTATCAAATCTTTTAAACTTTCCTGGTTTGGGTATTACAAATAATCTATGTGCCGGTTGTAGAATTGGGAAGAGGAATGCCAATAAAAATGCAGGCAAAAATTATTAGAGAAGACAAGGTAGGTTGTAACGTAGCGACGGCTATACAAAAGCAAAATAATGTGAAAAAATCTCTCATAGGGACCACGTCGACCCCATGATAAATAACAGGGATGCGAACGGCTATACGATAGCAAAATAATGTGAAAAAATCTCTCATTGGGACCACGTCGACCCCATGATAAATAACAGGGATGCGACAGGATTAGGAAATTGGACAAATTCATAGGTTGGAGCATAGATAAAGAATACGAATAATAGGCCTGGCTCATTAGACTGACAGTTGCTAATTTTCCTGCTCCTTCCCTGGTGCCTTAAAGTGATATTTCTTCTTCTTTTTCTCCACCTCCCCCCAGAATTTGATTTTCTAGTTTTTCTTTTCTTTTCGGGACAAAAGATCTGGGATAGAAAGAGTGAAGATAGTTCATCCAAGATAATGATTTATGGTGCCGAGTGGAGAAACTTAGTGGGTGTTTGGTGGGGATTAAAATTAAATTTTTAGTAGATAGTTATAAAAGTTTTTGAAATGTGTGGTTGAAAAGTTGTGGGACCCATGAAAGATGTGGTTAACATTGATTGTTTAACTTTGATTCAGATTAAAATCTGAATTTAATCCGAAACAAACAGAGCTTTAGTTTAGCTACTACGTAAAAAGTATAAAAAGATGTAGGATATGTGACATATCGTATCTCTACAGTCGATAATGCAATTTATAAATACAAAGGACAAAAATACAGTAATGGACAGCTAAACATTTGATTAGAATTTATGAGGCAAACGTAGATCGACAACTATGACTCGATGCATGAATTAACACATTAGCTAGTAGAAAGAATAACTCATACCAGCCTCTCCAATATTGTTCCGTTTCTTCCAGTTTAGCTCGGTGGGTGTAACTGCAGCATCAAAATGATTTTAAATGGTATAAACAAACAAGCAACATAGACATATTATCACTTAAGATGACAAAATTTAACCACTTGATAAAGGGTCCTTGAAGTGATTAACTGTGTGACACAAGCACAAAACAAACCAAAATCTACAAAAGCATGACCCTTACAATAAGCATACTCACCATTTTTTCACCTCATCATATTTTAATGTGCTGGGAATCGAGAGACAAGCAGATTCAATATTTCTCAAAGAGCCTCCTTTGACACTCCATTCGATCTATACAAACATACATTTTTAAAATCATTACACCATAACTATCACATTTAACAAAACTAATCCGCACTTGATACGAGAGAGCAATGACGGTATATTAAAGTAGAAGCTTTCAATGACTCCCATTCTTCTTGGTAGCTACTTCTGAAGTAGATACCTCATACCGGATTCCATATTTTAGTATCAGCAACGTTGCTTTTAATCTAATTGACTCCAGTGTGTCAACCAATCTGTAGTTGGCATTCAAGGAAGTGTCTACCACTTACTGTTTAATAAACGTCAAGGGTTTAAACAGATGTATATCATGATAACTAAAACAAAAGATATTAATTTGAGAAACTAATATTAGTATCAACCTATATTGTAACAATGATTAACTACCAATTGGAAGAGCACCTTACAGGCGCAAGGAAAACATATTTATATAGACTGGAGTCCAGGACCATATGGTGTGATTAAAGGAGGGAATTCAGGAACGATACAGATTGGAGAACAATGGAGAACCGGATTTACAATTTATAAAACGTTAATTAAATACTATTGAAATTGTGCTTTGGGTTATTAGATCAGTTGACAGCTAGATCCACATGGGGTGTGTAATGCAAAGCACTATCTGAATGAATAAAGATGATAACATATAGATTTGAACATAGCATTCTTACAATTTAACAGATAGAAAAAACACCAGTCCCATAGAATCAGTTACCGCTTTCTCGATGGATGAAAAATGCTGCATTCGGTTTGATAGAATCTTTTGCATATGAACCAATGAAGCCATTGCTGTTCCCTGAAATTCTAGGTAATTATCAGTAAAGATTTAATTAGAGTTTGATAGTTACATTTTCATTTTAACTTAATCTAATCATTGACATAGAACGGATAGACAGTTAATGCAATTCTGAAAGTTTTATGTATTAATACAAACCTCAACAACATCTACGACAATTAGGCCAGCCAAGCTAGGAAGTGCCTTCTTCGCAGCAACATGAACAGCAACTGAGCCACCCATACTGCATGAAAATTACAGAACTAAACCTCTTAAGAAATTTATGGTTAAGAAGAGGAAAAGAAATTAAAGCACGATGAAGATTCTTTTCTTGTGAGGAACTTCCTTTTGATATATTCCAATAAGCATGAAAATAATTGTCTCTTGACAAGTACATGAATCGAAAAATAATGCAGGCACTATTAACCAGGATTAAAGATTGATACGTCAATATTTCATGGGTGTCCTCAAAGATATTGATTTAAATCCTGCCTAAACAGAAACAGACACGCTAACTTAGAAATAATTTGTTTTTTTTTTTTTTTTTTGTAATTTAGTCCAACGTAGTAAGACCATATAAAGCATAATTGCTCTTGAATATCCGAACTTTTATGTCCTCAACTCAACTGATTGTAACCAAATCTACTGAAAGGCTCCACATCTAACTCGTAGGAATCATCCTTTTCATTATATATAAAAATAATCTAGAAGCTAAACAGTATACAAGGGCACAACCTGTGGCCAACAAGTATAATTGCCGGAGGAGAATCTCCATACATTGTTTTCAGAACAGCAAGCACATCATTGCACAGAGTCTGCAATAATTGTAAACAATTTCAACACGTGCAGAGGACTGTATAATGACAAGTACGCAGAAATATCTCTACAGCCCAAAAAGTGAAGTAAATGAACTTTGCAAATAATCGTCTTCATTTTGATTTGTCTTCTAACTATATACCTCAATTGATAGATCTAATTCATCCTCTGTGGACGACTTTCCGTGCCCCCTCAAATCCATGGCTACAACCCGAACCTTCTCCTTCATTATACTTGCTGATAATGCAAATGAAAGCCTGAGGAAAGCGATCGAACAATATGTAACTTAGACGTAACTTAGGTCGTTAAAAACATGTAAATATATCCTCATTGCAACTATACAAAGTCATTCAGATAAAAAAAAATCACAAAAGTTGCGATTCTTGTGAAATCTATTAATTATGTAGATAACTTTTCGAGAGTTTGAGTCATAGGCAGTTCATCAAATCAATTGCAAGGGTAGTCAAAGACCAAATTTATGAGTTATAACAGTCCAATTCCACAATATTAGTAATTTACTCAGAATAAAAATAGGACAAGTGAGGCATAGAAGAATATTATAGTTAAGATGTCCGGTGAAGAGACAACTCAAAGGTTCTAATCAATAATGATAAAAATCTAGATGCTAGGCTACGTCATTTTCTCAAGAATTCAGAGCTCAGTGAAGGCAAAATTCATGTCTTCACATCACAAGAAGAAAGGATAAAATTTTATGCAGCAAACAGGTAAATTTTTTGCACGTGTAGAGCAATAAAACTTTCACAATGAGCAGGCTCCTTGAGAGGTAAGAACACACACTGTAACAATAAACAAAGTGCACAACATTATGTGATAAAGTTTTCGTGTTTCTCGAAGGATGGATTCTCTCGAGAGTATCCATCATTTGACATTAAATCAACATAAAAAGACAGAACATGGAAAATGAAAACAGAAATAGTAAGATTATTGTGATGGGCAAAATTAAATAATATTGCACAGTTGCACATTCATGTCTATAATTTGATGAAATATATATGGGAAAAAACAATGAGGAGCCCATTACAAAGGTTGAATGTTGCGGACAATATAATGAACCAGGATATCAAAATCAAAATATCAGATTCAGTATGCATAAGATTAAGAAAAATCTAAAGAAGAAGAAAGCCCACAATAATATCCTCAAAATATCATCATAAAAAATAGGCAACAAAATTAATTAATATAAAAGTAAGCTTAACATGTCATCTTCAAATATTATGACAGTACAATTCCAATGTCACTCATATGGGAGGATGCATGAAACAAATATGTAAAAACTAAAAAACCTTAGCTTACTGGAAAATCATGTATATTGCCAATTTACAATGCCATGCTATAAGCAAACGTATTATAATAAATCCTTGCAAAAATTAATCAAACAAATATTTAACGCCGACATGAAAAACTAAATCTTTTTTAGGAAAATCTTATATATTGTTGATTTACAATGCCATGCTATATGCATACGTATTATAATAAATCCTCGCACAAATGAATCAAACAAATATTTATCACCGACATGAAAACTATATCTTTTTTATTCCAAAATCTTCATGTCAGAAACACGGATCATGCCAAAATACACATCAAATATTCTGTTACACATTTTCTTTTTTTTGATAGATAATCCAAAGTTTTATTCATCAAAGAAGAATACACAGGAAGTGTATTATCAACTTATACAAGAAAGAAAAGACATAAAGTTAGGCAACCCCTCTATAGGATTACTAGTAGCGGCATTAAACCAACTATACAAAGTCAGGTAAAAGAATTCTCTAAGTTGCTCTGTGGTCCGTGTTTGATCTTCAAAACATCGATTGTTCCTTTCTCTCCACACACACCATTTTCACACCAGTAAGATTGTTAAAAATAATGATATGCATTTGAGATATAAAATTATTCCAGCATAACACAGTATAACAGAATGAAACCATTCCATTGATGATTGCACACACAAAGAAGGTCAGGGAGTATGAATTGTAATGTACTTCAGTAATCGAAAAAATTTAAAAGGAATTGAAAATCTAGGTCCTGGAAAAACTCGGACCTCATGTTTCCTTGTTTTCTCCTTCAGACCCCAATTTAAACTCTTCCATAACTTTTCTGTAGCAGTCTAGTTATAATAGTAAATAGTATGCAAAATCATAGAGATAAGGTTTTAGCATGAAGTGTTCTTATACACCACTTGCTCAAAACTTTCAACATAAATAAGATTATAAAAAAAGAAGAAATTCACTTCATATCTCGTTTGATTATATACTAATTATAATCTGTATTTGGCCGGCAGTTTTGATCTTCATCCCTGTGATGATATATATATATATATATATGTAAGGCCCCGTTTGATTGGCGGGATTTTCCATGGAATTAGGAAAATATTTTTCATTTTCCACTTTTGCAAAATTTTCCACGGAAAATGTTTTCTCTCCACCCCCCACGCGCCTATTTTCCGGGTTTTTGTTGAAAAATTTTTCCCACCTTTTTTAGGAGGCTGACGATTTTTTTTTTTTTTTTGCAATGGAAACATATGTCATAACCAATTGTAAAAAAAAAAAATCACTTCAATGGATAATTTTCATGTAAAACAAAGTCAAACGAATACTAAACTTTGATGAAAAAAATGATTTTTTAGAAAACAATTTTTTTTAACTTTTTGACAATGGAAACAAATTTTATAACCAATTGTGGAAAAAATTATCACTTTAATGGACAATTTCCATATAAAACAAAGTTAAACGAATAAAAAATTTTAAAATTTTCGAGGGTGAAAAATTATACCAGTCAAACACACTTAATTAACAATTCCCTACAAAACAATTTCTAAGAAATTACTTTCCCTGAAAATCATTTTCTTTTCACCCATTTTCCACTCTTGCAATCAAACGGACCCTAAGTTATAAAATGCATATTCCTCATCCATATTACAATTTGACTAGTAATAGTTAGGAAATCATTTAGTCTCTCAAGAATCTTCAAGATACTCAAGATGAATATTGATATATTTCCAAAGGATAAATTAAAGAAAAAATAAGAATTTCTTATAAAGGTCATAATCATCACACATAGTGAAGAATCAATTACATTAAGAGGGGCAATACAGAGAACTAAATAGATTTCAGCAAACCTAGAAGTAAACCTACCCGGAATAACCCCCACCATGTAGACAAAACACAACCGGACCTTTAGTTCCTGCTGTGTAAACGTGGAAAACCTAAAATGAGAATCAAAACAAAAGGACAATGTTTTCACTTAACAGAATAATAAGAGAAGTTAGTAAATAAGTTAACAAAATGATGTCACTCACATCATTTGAATCCTGGATGTGAACATCGTCCTCTTGGTCAAAGTAGCCTAACCAATCTATAGGTGCATATTTTTGTGAAGAAATCCTACAAAAATAAACAGGAATAAGTAGTAATTTTCAGTCTGACAGAAATAATTGATCATTTAAGAGATTAGAAAATATAAAGAACATAAATGTATACATTTAAATGACATTCATGCTGACCAATCAAATAATTCAGAGCCACTTAACTTGTGAGCAATGTAAAGCCAAATAAAGAGAAAAGGAAAGGAAATAGATAGATAGATAGATAGATAGATGTAGTTAGTGTTCAGATTAAATTGCCACTTCTTTCATTGACGACCTACTCGCATCGCATGGAGCAAGTTTCAATCAACAGAAATCATTGATACACAAATGACATGTAACAAAATAGACAGTAGTGAAATCCAATATTAGATTTTAGTACAAAAATTTCAACATATCCAAAATATTTATGTTTATCTTGTTGAATAAAATTGACACCAACCCTATCAAAAAAAAAAAAAAAAATTTTAAAAACCTATCAAAAATAAAATTGACACCAAGATCTGTACATACAACTTAACTCCGCAAAGAATTCGTCTTCTGAAATGTTTAATTTTACCTCTTTCCGTGCTGTTCCTTGTCATTTGTTGGATGCCACAACCCATTTTTTGTCAACAAGTTTTACCTCGTAAATTATGAAAAAGCCGGAGTGGTACAAGAATTCTTTCAAATTCTACACGGTTTACAAATTGTTTTCATTTAAATTTAAATATCTTAAAAGAAATAGAATGAATATTCTCCTGTTATACCAAAAGAAGAACAAGTATTCAATAATTTCAGCTATGTCCAAGCACAAGAGAGTTAAAACCACTTTCAATTCTCACATCCACAATTTGACCATTCTCTTCCATCATCAACCACCCCCACTGCAAGAGATTGTCCCATTTACAACAGATAAAATCTCATCTGCAGCTAAAATCAATCACAGAAATTGCTTAATATCAGTGCTTGCCTTAATTACTAAATACAACCCATAACTCAAGCCTTCACACGCGTTTTCACTATTAGATCATCACCTTGAAATTCTTGGTCAATTTCACTCGGAGCTATACTGCTACAAACAGTGTCGTCTGAACTAAATATAATGTCATTTCAGCATCAAACATCATTTAATGCCATGGTCACCCCGAAGAATATTAACTTTGCATCTCACGCTTCAAGCCTCAAAAAAATCAATTGATTCCTGACAAACCATAGATCCTAATTATCCCCAAAGACTGAATAGTAAATAGACTCCACCAGTCGAAGTTACAAATCTCCATTTTTATTATGGTTCACTTACAACATTTTCTTAAAGTGGGAAATTACCAGTAATTCAGGTGGGAGCTGCAAAGTAACTCAATTAGGCCAACGCCTGTAGGTGCTAAAATTCAAGTTAGGTACACCAGCCGATTGATGAGGAGCAATGGAATACATAAAATTTAATGATCTTCCGAAAGAAAAATTGCAGCTTTTTGCTATAAGTCGAATAAGTTTTCAAACAAAAGATAGTATTTCCACAACCGCTTTAAGAATTGCACTATCTAGCCTTCTGCTTTAAACTGACTAACACACTGGTTGCTATAAATTTAATAGACTTGAAGCCAAATACTAATATTTCATGCATATTTTGTTGCCAATTGATCATGAGCTTAATAAAACAATTAAAAGTTTTAAAATAATAATATTACCCAAATATCCGTAATAAATATGTATCTAGAAGCTGAAAAAAAATACAGTGCAAAATCTATTTTAAAAAGACATTTGTTCGAGTTGAACTTTTACAAAAACACATCGAAATTATAAATACATTTTATTTACTTAATTACCAGAAGAAATGTTTCGAAGATATGATCGAATGCTTACTGGATTGGAGGACGATCGGGTTTAGCAGAAAACCCGGAGGGCAATTTGTTGACAGTTTCAGTGGAAGTCTCACGATTTTGGTCTTCTTCCGAGGTCTCTTCAGGAACTGAGGTTAGGTTCGCCGTCGCCGATGAATCGTCCATTTTGATCGCCTATGGAAGTGCTAAATGATGCTAGTCTGTTCTGTAGCAGTTTAATTTGAAGACAGTACTTCGGCCTGGCAATGGGTTGGGTGTGGACCAGAAATGTGGGCCTAGGCTTAATTCTTTAATGGGAAAAGTGCAAATTACCCCTAGATCTATTTTCTAAAAGGGAAAATTATATAAAACTATGGGTTTGACGTTTTTAAAAATCAGGGTTTTAGTTTATTTTTGCAAAAATCAGGTAGTATAAAATTTTAATTCTTAACCTAATCAATTTCCTCCCAACATTCTCTCTACCACTTTCTCTCGCCACTTTCTCTCCCAACCCACTGCCTCCCCATTCTCTCTCTGTACCAATACACGATATCAATCACCTCCGACAGCTCTGACGACTTCGGCAGCTCTGGCGACTCCTACAGTGGTTGGGTGTAGTGGGTACGGTGTTGTGCGTGCGGTGGTGGTGGGTGCTGTGGTTGGGTGTTGAGGCGTGCGGTGGTGTTGGGGCGTGCGATGGTTGCGGTGGGTGGGGATGTTTGAGTGGTTTTAGTGGCGGTGGCGGATCGAGCTGCTGATGGTGGATCTAGAATTGGTGGTGATGGTTTTGGCCGTAGCGATGGTGTGCTCTGCATCTTGATTTGGTGGCTGTACTATGGAGGTGAGGTGGTGGATCGGGCTGCTTGATGGTGGATCGAGATTTGGTGGTTGTTCTGTGGAGGTGTTGGTGGCTGTGCTATGGAGGTGAGGTGGTGGATCTGGCTACTTGATGGTGGATCGAGTGGTGGCTGGGTGTGACGACAGTCGTGGGTATCTGTGACCTAGGAATTATGACTGTGACCTGTGTGGTGGTGTCCGTGACCTAGAAATTGGGACTGTGACTTGCTGAAATAGAGTTGTGACCCGTAAAAGTTTTGAATTTTTTCAATATGTGACCTATGAAAAATTACCTGTGACCTTAAAATTCTTGATTTGTGACCAACGAAGTTAACTGTGACCTATAAATTTTTTCACCTGTGACCTCGAAATAATCTGAGACCAATTAATTCGATAAGCTATGACCTGAAATTAATTTTTAACTAATTAATAAGATATACGCTATTAGATTACACAATTAAATATTTAATTAATTAATAAAAAGTAGAAACCTGATTTTTACAATTTTAAAGTTTAGCACCTGATTTTTTTAAATGACAAACTAAACACTTGAGCCATAAACTTTTCCCTTTCTAAAATCAGATTTCAAATTTTAATTTTCAAAAATTAGATATTTTTAATTAGATACAGATTATAATTATATTATATTATATTATATATATATATACACAAATTATAAAATTAATTTAATTTACGTACCCACCCCCCACCTAATCATCATCCACCCAAACCCTAATTTTATTTTTTCTCCCCTCCTCTCTGTACAACCCTCCCTCTCTTTCTCTCTCTTTCGGCCGCCTCTCTCTCTCATCGCCGTCTGCAGTGAAGCAACCAACATCACAACTCTCATATCTCTCTCCCCCAATTACCCACCGACAGCCACGGGTTGGTGGTGACTCGCCATTGCTAGGCATTGGTGGTGACTCGTCGTTGTTGCAGCTCAGATCGAGGAAAAATAGTCACGATCCTCGTCGTTGCTTATATTCTCCCCTGATTGTGCCACCACCTTGCACTTTATTTCTTGAATCGTCGCCTCGAGTTCATCAAGCTCAAGAAGCCCTAACTTCTGAATGCCAACATCCCATGATGCCCTTCCCTGTGGCAAACAAATTTGGTAGGTCCACGTCGATTGCCCATCCAATCGCCCCCAACGAATCCAGCGTATTGTGTTAGAAATTGGATTGAAAATCAGGTTCTTCCCTTAACTTATAAGCATGCTGGCACATTTGGGGATTTTTTTGGTAGTGGTGATTATTGATCGTGTGGCGGCGAATTTGGGGATTTTTTTGGTGGGGGTTGTATTTGTGATGTGATAGAAATGGAGGTTGTTGGTGGTGCAATGATGGAGGTGGCAGTGGTGGGGGCTGAATCGTTGGTGTCGTCACCCAACAGTGATGATTGCATCGTCGACTTTTTGGTTTCCGTGTTCTTTNGATAGAGGTTGGTTGAAAAATGTTGGTTGTGGTAGTGGTTGCTCGGCGGGTGTTGGTAGTGGAGGTGTCGACTTTTTGAGGTTTCTTTTTTTTTTTGTTTATGTTTGTGAGTTTCAGATTGGAGACGGTGTTGGTGGTATGGCAGTAAGGTGGGTTGGGTGCTGGTGGTTGTGAAGTTGGTTGCGAGTGGTGGTGGTTGGTGGTGTTTTGTGTGGCGACGATTATGTGGTTGTAACTGTGGTGGCAGATCTGGCAGGATCTGGTGGTTTTTGGTGTTGGTTTTGAAAATGGCAGTGTTACTACTGATTATCGTAGTGTTTGGATGGTGGTGATGTTGGTCGTGGTGGTTGTCGTGGAGGCGGTGGTAGTAGTCGTAGCGATAGTTTAGAGGTGGTGGGGGTGGATCTGGTCATTTTGATTTTCTGTGACTAAAAATATAATCTGTGACCTTAAAATTCGATAACATGTAACTAAAAATATAATCCATGACCGACCATTTCGTTATCTGTGATCGTGAAAAAATCCGTGATCAAGTAATTTGGAAATCTGTGTTCGTGTGACCTTATGTGACTAAAAATATAATCTGTGACCTTAAAATTCGAGAATTCGTGACCAACAATTTTGTTATCTGTGACCTAAAAATTATATAATATGTGACCGAGAAAAAATTTGTGACCAACTAATTTAGAAGTCTGTGACCGT